TCAGGAAAAGACCAAATAGGGGATGGGCCAAATAATTGCCAATTTTTCCGTTGATCGATTTTGAGTTATCTCTCGTTTTCACTGGAAGATGCAAAGCAGCAGAAGACGGATTAAGTTTTACAAACTAGGAAGGGGAAGGAGATGGAGGGGGAGAAAGACGAAAAAGACAATATGAAGCAACTGCAACAGCGATATTTATAGTTACAGCAGCAGTAGTAGTGTTAGTAGTAGTAATGGGTAATGAAATAGAGTATTGGGAAAGAAACAACATAAAATAAATGTATGCAAATGTAAAAAGACCCCAAAAAAATATTAAAACGCTTAATTGGAAATGGCTGCATCAGAACGGAAAGATAGAGATTTATAATCGATAGGAATAATGTATTAGCATTAAAAAAAAAAAAAAAACCTAATACACAACTACAGATCCCTTTTTTATGACACGTGAGGTGTCAAACCTAATACTGTACAATATTCGGGATGGACCAACATATTTTATAGGCTGAAGTGGAGACGATTATTAAAAATACGCAACATGGAAAAGTTGCACGCCCTGATAAAATAACATCAAAAATGATAAAATATATACCCAGCTTTGGCATCAATGAAATGTGCACTGGTTCCATTCCAAAGTACCTGATAACATTTTTTGGGTCACATTGCCCAAGAAGTCAAAGGCTGCTGTTTCAAAAGACTACAAAACGACTAGCATAATAAGCCAAAGAAGTGAGATACTTCTCAAGATCATATAAGATAAAGTTCAAAATAAAAAACAAAATAACGAAGGAGTTTCTGAAAATCGTTTGGGTTCCGACATTTATTTAAAATAATTGTGGCACGCGTGTTTCAAAGATTACAAAAAGGCCTTCGACAGGGTGCAACATGAAAAGCTGAATGCAAGCCTCTACAATATAGGATTGAATGGAAAGAATATCAGAATTATTAGTAACTTGTAATAAAATCAATTAGCAACAGTTAGACATGTAGTCACCACAGACAGAGACAAATGATGAGGTCAAAGATGTGTGTAATTCCAATGATTTTTCTTTTTTTAATTTATATGTACAGAACACATTTTTAAACATGGAGAATTTTCTAGACTGACATTCAATAGAGGAATAATAAGCAACCTGAAATTCGAGGAAAAAAGTTCATGATTAGCAGTGACTGCTGGAAGCATATACTACAGAACAAGATGATTATCAATGACATTTCAAGTTTTAAAAAAACTAAAATACCCACCCAGCACAAGCTTTCATCTGTCAATTGTATTGTAAAACTAAACAAAACATGTTTACCATGTCTCTGCGCCCCAAGGAAACAAAAAAAAAAAAAAACTCCAGACATTGCGTGAAAACAAATTTTTAGATAAGAATTTTCTTTTTCCCCAATGATCTGCCTGCCCCATTAATTTCTTCACCGTTCATGTGATGCAGTGAGATGAGATTAAAGATAAGCCCTCACATATCTAACTTGTCCCAGCCACGGAGTACACTGCTGATCTCAGGTGATGAACTGGCGTGTCCAGATAAAGCTCACTGTTCATATGGATATCGGTGTTATCAAGCTGTTTATACTCTCAGTATCTAGTGATTACTTGGTTCCATTAGGTAATCAGTTCTGAAATTGGTGCGGTACAGAATAATTTACCATTAGTAGAACATAAAGACCCTTCTCGTTCGGCTCTGCGGTTCAGAGGATAGTGGATGTGTTTAATAATTTCTTTATTCTTGAGTACTAAGGTTCGATTTACAAGCAAATGAACAATGTATTTCTTCTCCGGCCCCTTTCTTCCCCCACCCTTCTTTTCCTTATTCTTCTTCTTCGTTCAGTGGACCAAAGAGTTTACGTTCCACTGTTGTTCTTTCTGACCAAAAAGTTTGCCTTAAGCTATCAAATTCGGTGCAGTCCTAGAGTACATGCTTGCTATCTGGGCACCTTTCCACAGGTTCCCTTGGCTGAAACGCCTATCTTGAATTTTGAGTTCAAATGGTTACGTAATCGCTTGCGCCCTGTTCGGAGGCGAAGGATAACGACGTGTTCTGATCTGTCCATAATAAAATAGTCGTCTTGTGGTGGGACTGGTGGTTTCCTGATCAATCAATGATCCCTTTCTTTTGGTGGTATGTAATTTGCACATCCTGCTGCTCTTTTGTGGCACCTTCGCCTGCTAATTGATCAGCTTTCCCACTTCCAGAGTTGGGAACTATTTTCACAACAAAAAGTCTAAGGACTGGCCACAGGGACTACTGACCAGACATGTAAAGGAAATAGATTTAACATGCAGTGCAGCTGTAAAGTGAAGGAACCTTTTTGTTTTTAACGTCAGCGGCGAATTAGGCAAATGATGCTAAGCTCTAAATTGCGTAGCCCAGCTGACAGTTGATGGGTTATGAGATCAACATAACGCCGGTTGCCTTTACTTCACAGGACATTACCAGAACCCATTTAGACCAGGATAATCTGGGAGCTATGGTCAATTTTTTCAGAACAAAACCCGGTTCTTACACAATAACCGACAACATATGACGTCACGGGACAGTCCGATATTTTAGGGGGTGGTAAGACTGGGGTTGTCGGCTTTCTGGTGCTTTTAGCAACACCAAAACATCTAGAACTGGCCCTAACGCCAACCCACCTACGTCCTACGAGAGAGAGCAGCCTGGGTCCCACGACTGCATGCAGCCTATCTACCACCTCCCTGAAATATTAGACTGTCCTGTGACCAGTGGATTTCCCCTATTTGTGGTCAGGCATTGGGAAAATACCCCAAATCCGGCACGGTGCAGATTGGAACCGCTGATTTTCCCGCTCGCTTTTAGTCGCTACCCCACAGTAGATCCTATTTGGAAATGTGAAATAATTGGAAACAAAAAGGTGTAGGTCAATTCACACAGTTCCTACTGTTGCTTGTACTCCATAATGGGAGCAAAAGCGCTTAATCAGCTCAGCTTTTCTTATTGTTTCCTCTTTGTGCGCAGCTCAGACCATATCCTTCCGACATTTTTTCACGTCAAAATCTAACTCACATCTGCGTATGATTTGTGATCTGCCTTTATTTCTGTGACTTAGAGGATTCCAATGCAAGGACATGGTGGTAATATTGCTTTCATGTTTACTTCAAATGTTCTCTGACTCCCGCGTCTTTTACCCACCTCTTGATTCATATCGTTAAACATTATTAATAATAATATTAATAATATTAAACTGAAATCGAAAACTTGTAATGTAGAATTATGAAACGTGTTCCCTGCCCTCAAAGCCAATTCTTTAGTATTATTATTTTTATTATGCTGAAAGACGACAATATGCTTTACATAATATGACATGAAATGAATAAACAAATACCTTCAAATTCAATTTAAATGCATGGTAAAGGGGCCTCTTAATCCATTTGTATCCTCGTGTGGGTTCCGAGGTCCCTTTGCGGGGAGAACAAGAACAGACTCACTGCCTCCCCAACAAGCATGTCGTAGGAGTCGACTAATTGGGGCTTCTTTCGAAATCGGAGCGCAACTGCACGGGCGGCCAGGAACAACCAAATGCACACAACAAAAAAGTCAGTAAAACTCAAGCCCTGACACAAAGTCAAAGTTCAAATGGACGAACAACCCCTACTTTCCGCCGGAGCTTATAGCCCATGAACAAAGAAGTAGAAAGCATCCATTTACAAAATTATCGATGAGTTCGCATCTCAGCTGCCTGTGTGTACAAATGGAGTGTAGGAACAGACTGGCAGCTGTGTGTAACATAGCGTTCGACCAAACAAACCAGTCAGTTGAGAACCACTGTATTTTGTTATCTCATTATATTATCTTGTACCATGTTTGTTTAATATTATGTGCATTTTGATCAAAACAACAAATATCGATTCTAACAGAGGAACGAATCAGACCTAAAAATCAATACGAGAAGTAAAACATAATGGTCTATCTAGATTTTATTGTTTGTATTTTTCGTCACTCTGGTTTTGGGAAATTACTGCAGATATTTCAGAGTAAATAAATGCAATGTTGAATGCTTGGAATTGATCATAACTTTTTCGTAGTGATTAGTTTAATTGTGTTCAGGCTGGAATAGTAGCAACTTTAAATCTTAAGTTTGGAATTTTCCGCGGCCGCTTCTCTTCATAGTAAACAACGGAAACATATTCAGTGATCGCAAATATTTCATAGCAGTCAATAGTTTCAATATGTTCAGGAGGAAATAGTAAAAAGCGTAAAAGTTCGGTCTGGAACTGGTCGCGCCTGCTTCATAGAAGATGACTGAAACTTATTCAACGTGCGAGTGATCAGAACTATTTCATAATAAATACTCACATATTTACAAGTTAAACAGTAATAAGTGTAAATGTTAGTTTGGAATTGGCTGCAGTTGTTTAATGGTAAATAGTGGAAACATATTCAGTCTGGAGTTGATCAGAAATATTTCATAGTAAAAAGTCTTTAAAACAGGTCTGCATCAAACTTATCTTGACTGCTTCACAGTAAAGTTTAATTGTGTTGAGATTGGAACAGTGATTAGTTTAAATACGTTTAAAAGCGATAAATTCGACTTTATTGCTCTTAACTTTGTTTCTAAACTATACAATAATCAAGAGTATATTTACAATTTTCAAAGCTGTATAATTTTAACCGGAATGTACTTGTTAAGAAATGTAATCTTATAACTGTCTTCAGAATCCAAGACTAATGCTAGAGAGATGAAATTTGCAGCTAATAAGTTCAAGGAAAGGTCCATGAAATCAAAGTTCAAAACAGAGAGCTCAGAGAAATAGTTGTGAGGTCATCGTAATGCCAGAAGCTAACAAAGTGATACAGCAGTTATAACAACGAGTATCTTCAGAAGATACTACTACATTACACGCGTGTAATGAAAACTGATTTCAATTGAATTAGTCTTGGTTTTTTCCATTTAACTGAAGGTCAGTCTTCTTGTCTGGCCGAAGTGAAATTTTTAGACATCGCACATAAGAGTCAACTATATTCAAGGGTGAAATCATGAATCTAACGACAAATTATACTTCACTTGAACGTTATAACATTCTTTATCGCGCTAATGAAGACACCTTTAAAACACTTATACCCACAGTTTCATTCTGCTGGGTTCTAGTAATTCTAGGAGTGGCCGGGAATGCGTTATCCATCCACATCTTCGTTACTCGGATGCCAAAGAACCTGCAGAACGAACTGTTTATCCTCCTGAGTGTCTTTAACCTTCTGGCTTGTGGGGTCTGCCTTCCCTTGGACATCCTTGACATGAGAAATATGTACCTGTACCCATCCATTGTGCTGTGCAAAATCGCCCGCTTCTTAAACATGTTCACCATGGCGTCCTCGACGCTGACTCTGTGTGTGCTCGCCATTTTCCGTTTGAGGGCTGCAAATTCCAGGGCTGTGGTCAGTCCGCACAGGCGCGTACGTTTCGCTGGATTAGGAATTTTGATTTTGCTCAGCGGTTCCGTCTCGTGGTTAGGTAAGTTCGTAACGCCTGCTAGCGACAGGACTACTTTCCCGGCCACTGTATGGGGTAAATGCATGAGCGAACGAATGTATAAAGGAAGACATGGGTGTAGAAATTACCTACGTACTAACTGACAGATGAGAGCTGAATCACATTATGAGCGGTGCACGAACACCTTTTTTCATGTCTACATACGTAAATGACCCATTTCCATTTTTGTTTCTTTTTTATAGACCAATCGGCACTCAGTAAGTCATGTGGTCGATTTTATACCGGCTGTCTTTACTTCCTACGAATTCACTTAGTACCAGTTTAAGGCTGAGTCGACCCGGGGGGAAAAGGGGGGGGGGGCGTGGTCTCGAGGCATGGTGTTCGCATCGAGTGATAGAGGTTTCAGGTTAAATCCCCGGTAAGGGCTGGGATTTTTTCACGTGGACTTGGACTTCTAGTAATCCCTCCTGGTCTCTGGGTAGTGAGATAAGACGCCCGTGTGCATTGATGCTCATGTAATGTAAAAAAAAAAAAAAATCCCCTGGCAGTTGGAAATTGAAAAGAGTAGCCTAACGGCGCTGCCCGGGCAAAATATGGAGTTAAAAATCTACCTAAAGTATTTCAGACTTGAGTTAGAAGAAGAACGGAGCAGTTCGTGGTCTCGAGGCATGGTGTTCGCATCGAGTGATAGAGGTTTCGGGTGCAATCCCCGGTAAGGGCTGGGATTTTTTCACGTGGACTTGGACTTCTAGTAATTCCTCCTGGTCTCTGTGTAGTGAGATAAGACGCCCGTGTGCATTGATGCGCATGTAATGTAAAAAAAAAAAAAAATCCCCCTGGCAGTTGGAAATTGAAAAGAGTAGCCTAACGGCGCTGCCCGGGCAAAATATGGAGTTAAAAATCTACCTAAAGTATTTCAGACTTGAGTTAGAAGAAGAACGGAGCACTTCTGGGTTACTAGCCGCGTGCCATGATGTTGATCTGTTGTTCAAACCTCACATCTTAAGGCTGGGTTGACCTAGAAGTCAGGTTATTTCTGAAGAAAGTCTGGCTTCGTTCGGATTTGAACCTATGATCTTGAATTTGCAGGCAAACGTCTAGCTGATCTGTAAATCCGCAGGCAAACGTCTAGCTGATCTGTAAATCCGCAGGCGAACGTCTAGCTGATCTGTAAATCCGCAGGCAAACGTCTAGCTGATCTGTAAATCCGCATGCGAACGTCTAGCCGCTAAACCACAGTAGCTCCCAGACAGGTGCACAAAGCGACAACTTACCCAGACGACAGCAAAATGTCTCCTACATATTTTAAACAGTTTTAATTAAATAAGTATAGCCAGTATTTTATTTATTCTTTCCGTTTCAGCCGCAGTCGTGTTTGGTATCAGATCAAGCCCCACGTTTACCGAGGACATCACAGGAAGAGACTGTTCAATAGCTGATGTCACCAGCAGAACCGCATGGCCTGTTGTCTTCAACGTCGTTCTTGCCGTTGGCTTCTCTTGTCTTCTGGCAGTGACCACTACAGCCTACTACAGAATCTGGCGGGTTGTTAAGAAGAGCAGAATTGCAGTTACAGCTTACACGATGACTGTTGGTGTTTCTCTTGGCAGCAATGGTCAAAGGAAGCCAGACTTGTCCTGTAATGAAAATGTAACTGTTCCTTCTGAAGATATCAAGGGGATAAAGACGGATTTATCTTCTCGTACAGACAAGAATGTTAATATTTGTTCTGATGACAACGAACTGAAGACGATCATGTCTCCACAAGAAGTCAACAATGCAACCAACAAAATCTCTGGTGGCCAGGAGAAACATAAACAGTCAACTAAACCCACCACAGCCTTAATCCTGGCTGATATTTGTACTGACACTGCGCCTGTAAATGTTTCAGTAAGGGACGATAACAGTGAAGACATTTTTACTCCAGTGAAGGATAACATACTACTGATTACAGATATTGTAAATATTGCACTAATAAATGCAGATGGTATAGTAAATAATGAACTGCTATATACTGATGGCATGACAAAGAAGTTGCTACTAAACACAAATGGTACAGGTAAAAATAAAGTATTAAATATAACAAAAAAGTCGCTACTAAATGCATGTGATACAGCAAACAATGCACTAGTAAATAACGATGTAGTAAATAATGGACCATTAAATACAGATAGTACAGCAAGGGGCATATTAAATATAGATGATATAACAAAATATTCACAACTTAGTGCAGATGACACAGCAAATGATACACGGCTAAATACAGGTAGTAATACAAAACACGCAGTCCTAAATAAAGGTGTAGAATCAATAACTACAGACAGTACAGCAGATATACACACGCGTGATGGCTTAAGTTTCTTTACCAGAGGGAATTTAAGATTCACTTCAAAATTCGTCAGAGTTATGTCTAGCTTCGTGTGCCGGGATATGGGCGGGCATCAAATAAAATCACGCATGGTAATTAATTCTAAAACTAAGCAGCATTATAGGGACAATCCGGACTTCAGTGTCTCTGGATATCTATGGAAAAATACGTGCAATCCAAACTCAAGTACTTTCTTGTGTGATACAGCAATGACATCAAACACGAAATCACATAAAGCAAACGCCGACAAACATCATAACACATTCATAAACAGCATCACAAAGGATATTTTCAGCATAGATTTAAAAACTACATCAAGCGCAGGAAAAGCAGCATTAAAGAAACCAGGGAAAGCCGGACACGAACTAAAACGGAAACTGTCAAAGACGTCACTAGAAGCCACAGTGACTAGAACCGCATTTCTCTTAACTTTTACCTTTATTGTTTCTTATCTTCCGTTCTTCTTCGTTAGCATCCCCAGGGCAATCAACGTGAATTTTGACTACAGCCAGAACTACCTGATGATGAATCTGGTCAACACCGTCCTTAGACTGTATTTTATCATGCCCGTTGTAAGTCCAGCCATATTCTGGGCATCAAATCTGGACTTCCGTCGCAAGTGTAAGGTTCTTTGCGCCAAAAACAATTTCGTTGTCAATTAAAGAAGTTACGCTATGTTATCACAATCCACATTACAGCACACTGGGATCACCCATGCGTGCTCAGTCATCCGATGCAGCAACCACTCTAAAGTCATCATCATCAGGTGCCTTGCCGACTGGCGTGGGCGATCATGCCTCTCCATAATCTGCGATCTCATGCAGCATGTATCAGTTCGGGTGCCGACATACCTCCATGCCATGCAACAAGACTGTCAAGCATCTTCTCTCGTTGTCTTCCTCTATCCCTTTTTCCACAGATCTTTCCAGTGGTCACAACATGTTCTATTTTCCCTCTTCTCATAACATGGCCGAAAAATGAGGACTGTCTCCTTCTGATGTCTGTGATAAGTTGTCTTCGGGCTCCCGCCTCTTTCAAAACCTCTTGGTTGCTCTTTTTGGCCGTCCAAGGTATTCTAAGCATTCTTCTGTAAAACCACATCTCTGAGGCCTCTAAAAATTGTTTGGCCTGCCTACCGATTGTCCGGGATTCACATCCATATGTTAAAACTGGATGTATGTAGCAAGCAAGAATTCTTTTTCTAACTCTCAATGACAAGGATATATTGCACAAGATGTTTTTCATTTTATAAAATGCAGTTTGTGCCTGTCTAATTCTGTTTCTTATTTCAGTTATGCGTCTTCCATCTGATGTTATCCATGTGCCCAAATACTTAAATTTCTGCACTTGTCCTAAAATAACACCATTGACTTTTATTACACATTTAGGAATAATTTGTTTCTTTGATACCACCATTACTTCTGTCTTCCCATTATTCAAACTGAGGCCCATTCTTCCACTTTCTAACACCACAATGTCTATCATTTCCTGTAATTCTTTCTGACTTGTTGCTATCAAGAGTGTGTCATCAGCATAACGTAAATTGTTTATATTGTGCCCACCAACCACAATTCCGGGCATATCAATTAAAAATCTCATTATATATTCACTGAATATTGAAAAAAATCAGGTGACAGTACACATCTTTGTCGTACGCCCCTCTTTATGCTTTGAAATGTACCTTTAAAATGTTTATTCTTATAGCAGCTGTTTGCTGCCAATACATGTTCTTTATTATTCGTAGATCTTTCCCATCAATATTTAATTTTTCTAACAGTTTGATTACTTCTTCTTGCTTCACACAGTCAAATGCTTTTGTATAGTCTATGAAGCATAAATACAAATCAGTCTTTACTTCTATAGCTTTTTCTGACAATTTTCTTAGGATGTAAATGGCATTGTTTGTACCTTTTCCTTATACAAATCCACATTGTTCATCGCTGATTTCTGGTTTAATTTTGTTTCTTATTCTTCTCATAATTATTCTCAGGAAAATCTTAGTCATGTGACTCATAAGACTTATTGTGCGATGGTCTTCACATTTTAAAGTGTCTGGTTTCTTTGGCAGAGCTATAAATATGGATTTTAAAAGGAATAAGTACTCTAGAGTACTTATACTAAATTTTCTAAGACAGCTTGGTTAGAATGTCTCCTATCTCGAATTTTTTCAAATCTGCTTGAGATCAACGAAGACAACAGTTTAAAACAGTAATACGGTGAAGGGAGCCACGACAGTTTGGAAGCAGGTGTATTCACAAAACAATGCCATTGGCAAGGCTGCAGTGTATTCTCAGATACAGGAGCAAACTTTGTGGATCAAGTGATTTGAGGGTGACACTAAACTTCGCATATACATAAAGAAAATAATGCAAAATTCATTCAGACGGTTTCATTGATAGCATTAAAGACAAGTAAACATTAAATGTGCATTGTTTTGTGTTCTTTTTCGAAGTATTCGTTTTACGGGTGGGTGTGCCGCGAATTTTGTTTTTGCTCAAAAAGGATGCCACTGCGAAAAAAGTTTGAAAGCCGCTGACGTAGAGGATAAGGTGATGTAACGCTGCTTTGAAGAGATTAATAGACATACAGAACATCCATTATTTAAAACACGTGTTATAATCCAGAAGGGTTGAGCAGGAAATGATGTCTCCTAACTCAGTGACTCAAACAGGAGATACATTTGTTTATTCAGGAAAGAAAAAGAGTGATTTGAGCGGGGTGGGTTTTCTGATGACAGGGAAAGTTTCTTCATTACTTCTTGGATATAATCCGATCAGCGACAGAATTGTTACTGTCAGACTTGAGTCAGGGAAAAAAAACATCACAATTATTCTAGTCTATGCCCCACCATCTACATCAGAGGAAGATGACATTCAAAATTTGTATAGCAGTTTAGAAGAGACGTTGGAAAGGGTAGAAAAGGAGAGATCACAATCATCATGGGGGATTTTAATGCAAAAATTGGTGGAGGTAGAAGATAGAAAGAGGAAATAGTCAGAGGCCCATTTGGCAAAGGAGACAGAAACGAGATTAGGGAGAGACTGGTCGAATTCTGTATAGAAAGGAATATGTGTATTACCAACACACTAAACAACACACCAGAAGGCTCTACACCTGGACTTCACCGGGTGGAAATAGCAGGAACCACATTGATTATATTTTATTACAACAAAAAAGGAGGACATGTATAACATCTGCAAAGACACTCCCTGGAGCTGACTGTGACACTGATCCCAAACTTTTTGTTGCAGACTTTAACATAAAACTGAAAAAAAAGTGTTGCTAAGCCAATACTTTTTGATTTAAGTAACTTACCAAATGATTACAGCATAGAGGTTACAAACAATTTTGAGGCACTCATGGCAGTGCAGGAGGATATGACACTAGATAAGTTGGCTGATGAAACAAGACACATCATCCTCACAACAGCTCAGAACATGATTCCTAAAAAGCGACACAAGAAACAGATTTACATTACAGAAAAAACTTTTATGCTGATAGAAGAAAGAAGAAATTTAAAGCAAATAGGGACAGAAACAAATAGCCATGCATATAGGAACTACACGAAAGAAATCAGAAGAGCTTTCAGAGAAGATAGAAAACAGTTTATTATGAATACCTGTAATACAATTAAAAAAAAAAAAAAAAAACTCCAGATGCAAGAAAGAGATAGAGACATGTTCAAAGAAATAAAAACATTGAAAGGCGAATTCAAGCTTTCTTTTCATGTAATAAGTGATAAAAACGGTAACACATTAACGGAAACCAAAGCCATATTAGAAAGATGGAAAGAATACTGTAGAGAAATGTATAAGGATCTGACAAGTAATTCAAAAACAACTTATGAAAGTACGAAAAATAACCAGAACCTTTCCTGGATGAGGTACGATGAGCAATATACATTCTAAAGAGAGGAAAGTCACCAGGTTGCGACAAAATACCAGCAGAACTAGTTCAGGCAGGAGGAGAGGCCAGCGTCCCTAAACTACCATGCACTGTGCACGAAGATCTGGAACCGTGGTATTTGGCCTAAAGCATGGAAAAGAACAGTCTATATCTCTCTCCCAAAGAAAGGAAATCTGAAAATGTGCTCCAACTACCGAACAATCGCATTAATAAGTCGTGCTAGCATAATCCAACTACCGAACAATCGCATTAATAAGTCGTGCTAGCATAATCCTCTTACAAATTATTATGAAGAGGATTGAAAGGAAATTACAGTATGAGCTACATGAAGCACAAGCGAGTTTCAGACAGGGTAGAGGAACTAGGGATCACATCTTTAATGTGAGAATAATTTTTGAAAAATGTAGAGAATACAACGTAGATCTTCATGCATTTGATTGTGTCCAACATCAGAAACTGTGGACTATTATGAGAAATATGGAGTTTCCAGCGCATTTGATGAACTTAATTAAAAATCTTTATCAAGAACAACAAGCAGCCATCAGAGCAGCTGGCGAAACATCGGATTGGTTCGAAGTGCAAATGGGAGTGAGGCAGGGTTGTATTCTCTCACCATACCTATTTAATATATACGCAGAAAATATAGTGAGAACTGTCAAAAATGACCAGACCTGTGACATTAATGATCCGCTCAAAATTGGTGGCAACTTCGCCACGCAGATGACACAGTCCTCCTTTTGAACAGTATAAAGGGAATAGAAAATTTAATATTATTTGTCCAAAAGCACAGTGAAGATCAACATCTGTTCTTGAGTTCAAAGAAAACGAAAATAATGTACACAGATAAGACTGGTGTAACAGGGAGACGTATTCACTTGTTTGTTAGGAGGTAGGATATTGCGCAAAGATAAGATGTACCGGGATCAATAAGTTTTGGTAACCTTCTTTTTCTGCCAAAACTAACTGTTGACGTCATCACTTTTTTGTCAGGAGGTAGGATATTGCGTACTAGTTGATAGGACGAAAATCAACAGGTCTTAGCAACAATATTATATAAATAATTTTTGACGTCATTGTTGACGTGCCCTTTCAGAGAGAACATAGTAGTAATTGCTTTCTAGGAGTCTCTATGACGTCAACTGTCAATTTAATTACTATATTTGGGCTGAATAAGATGATGAAATCTGATGCAGTCGAGATAAAATTAGAAAATCCTACGTGAGAACGCACATAGTTAACATGTTAAGACGTACTAGAAATTTCTAGAAGAGAAAAAACCAAATACTAGCATCCCAGTAAAAATAATGAGTAACAAAACACTTTAGCAGCCTTCAATCTACAAGACTTAGAAGACGAGGGACTGGTAACATGGACCCTCAAAGAAAGCCTTCGGTCTAAAAGGCTTGAGAAGAGGAGGGACTAGTAATTTAACCCTCAAAGCTCCTTTAGTTTGCCAGGCTTGGAAGAGGAGGGACTAGTAACATAGACCCTCAAAGAGAACTTTCAGTTATAGAGATGTCAGCTTAACACTAGAAGAGAGGAGCCAGTCAAATTGAGCCTCGAAGACAGACACTAGAGAGCAGACATGAAACGAGGCAACAAACTACAGAGACGGCAAACAAGATAGATGGATCAATGGTTAACAGAGACACATTAGGTAGAATCACTATTGAGATGTTAGGGTCGACCATCTAGCCGTTAGTACCAGACAGCAATAGAAGCCAGGCGGCAGTTACAGACACTAGAAACAAAGTAA